ATAAAACAACTATGCAATACTTTATATGATATCGTTTCATGATGAATATGTTGAATATTTTAAAATTGTTACCTAAGGCCAAAGGAGAAGAGGACGAACAAGGAACACATTATGACGAGAAATGGAGACAGATATGAGAAGAATGAACAACACTTGGATAGACATAGAAAGGAAGACCCAGGACAGAGTGAGTCGGAGAATGTTGATTGGCGGCCTATATTCCATTGGGAGTAACAGGAGTAAGTAAGTAAGTAAGTAAGTAACTGGAAGGCCGTTTCATCCTACTATGAGACTCTTCAGCAGTGCGCATCCACGATCCCGCCTCGCGAGTTCTGAACACAAAACCTGTCTGTTTCGCACTTCTGAGGAGTCCCATACTAGGATGAATCGGCCATCCAGATTTTCTACGGTGGTCCGCCTTTAATTGACCCATGAATTCAATTATTAAATTACTATGATATTCACAAAACCCCTCTCAAACTTAAAAAGTTGTTAAGACTTTATTAATAATCAATACTTTTAAATGGTAGTCATAGTTATTATATTTTTTGGAGAAATTTATCATTATATTCATGTCCATTTTAAATAATTCATTATTTTGTATTCATGATTTACATTCTAGTTCTTGACCAAATTTATTTATTCTACAAATGTACTCTTATAATTTAAAATGGCGCCCATTTATTATCACATATATATATGTAAAAGATAAAATACAAATGCTTTAATATTTACTATTCTGTATTTTTTTAAAAAAAGTTTGTTCTATTGAATAGTGAAGCGTAAATTATGTTTATTTATGGGTTCTATACTTTTATATTTTATCAGATTGGGGTTTTGTGAAGATTTTAATAATTTTATAGTTGATATCATGAGTCAATTAAAGCTGGACTACCATGGAAATCATGGAAGCCCTAGATGGTCGTTTCGTCATAGTATGGCACTCCTCAACAGCGCGTATCCACAATCCCGCCCTCTGCGAGATTCGAACCCAAGACCTATCAGTCTCGTGAGTGAACGTTTAACTTCTAGACCACTGAGTCGGTATCCAATAGTGTTTTTGTTATAAATTTAAAACGAAATATTTATCTCTTCTGCACTTGAATAATTAAATGTTATCTAAGTTAATTGAAATAGATTGATGAGCGTTTAAATTAAAAAGGTTGATTTCAAGTAATATAAAGATATATGTGTATATATAAATATATGATAACCCTTTTGGAGATTAAATCATACTTTATCAGATTGCATGAGTAAAAATACTAAGCACATGATCATACAGTAATCAGTTATAAAATTGTCTCAGTTTAAAAACAATAACGTTATTCAATTATAAAATAAAAGTAATGGAGTCGAAACAGGCTCAGTTTCTGAATTACTTTGTATAACATTTCTGTTGATATACTCTGGAAGATCCAAAATGATAATCATAGAATGTTATACAGATCAGTTTTATAAATCACTTCCAGAAGCGCAGGTTTCCAAAGTTAATAAACGTATGACGTATTCCAGTTAAATTTCATCAGCAAAAGTTACTTTTAAGTCGTATATGGATAGTTTTTAATACTATCATGATGTATGCTACTTATATTGACAGATATAAGTAACATGCAACACCAATCAAAAGTGGAACTCCTGGTAGCAGAAGATTAAGAAGATCGGATTGAAGAAAACGGCAACGTATGCAGAAAGTAATTGTAATAACAACAGGAATAAAGGAACGGTGAAGTTTGTAAGAGACAATTAATGGAATATGTGCAAATGATGTATCTACTGTATGATTTTCGTATTATCTTGCAAAGTCCTTGTTCACTACATTATAGATAACTTCAGATTAATTTTGAACGAGTGAATAACAAATTGACCAGACACTATAAGCATTAATCTACCGTGAGAGAGAACAAACCAGATCCCAGGAGAGGAAGAAGTTAGTAAGAAGTACTGGAAGTGGATAGGACACACATTGAGGAAAGCACCGAACTGCGTCACAAGGCAAGCCCTCACGTGGAATCCTCAAGGCCAAAGGAGAAGAGGACGAACAAGGAACACATTATGACGAGAAATGGAGACAGATATGAGAAGAATGAACAACACTTGGATAGACATAGAAAGGAAGACCCAGGACAGAGTGGGTTGGAGAATGTTGATTGGCGGCCTATATTCCATTGGGAGTAACAGGCGTAAGTAGGTAAGTAAGAATAACAAATTATGGTAACGTGTATGATGCGCCTAGTAAACGAAGTCATATGAACTCTTTTGTCTTAATAAGGAAATATATACAATAGTCAGTATTAACTAACAGGTTAGTCTGCCTGTAAGTCGTTTTTAACTCGTTCGTTGAAGTGACAATTAAATCTAAGCATAAAATATTTGAAATAAGAATCAGATATTACACCTATAAACAAGGAATTATTCCTAGCACATTTAATTTGTAAACGCTTAACCACTATAAATCAGACATATGTCTATTGTGTGATGTAACAGAAAACTAAACGTCTATAAACACATGTCTACCATTACTGAATTATTATCAGGTTACACCTTTTGACTGAAGTGTATTTTAATTTTCCGTCAAACGACATAGTTATGTGCGATAGTGTTGGCATGCTGCATCAAGTCAGTAAGTTATGTATTTAGTTTACTTTTCATCACGAAGTGATATCGGCTAGTGAATCAGTAAGAATCAGGAAGTATTTAAAAAAACAGCTATTTAGTCGAAGGTGAAAACTTTTCAATAGTATGCACCCATAACTTAATGCCGGACTGAACGTAGGATGTTTTATCTCAGGATACCATTTAGATCAATGAATTGAAACTATTACCATCATTATCATTCAATGTTATTACTCGCACCGCTAGTACTAATTATTTTTCTGGTTCTTGGTAAATGTTAGATTGTGAGTAAACACCACTGAGAGATCTTAAACTAGATCCAGATAGCATTTCAATACTATCTGCTTCACAAGAGATCTCTGAAAAGAATTCTAAAGAATAAAACAAATAGTTCTATTTATTGATGAATAGAGTAATTCATTCAGCTAACGTTTAATTATTCAACCAGTTAGCTATAAAAAAAGTTGAATTTGGCACATATATTTATCGTTTCAAGTTGCCAAGTCACATCAATTCAGTGAGATGAAATTATCAACATAAATGCTTAAATAGTATAAATCATCACAGTATCAGTAACAGTAGAAAAGATCAAGCTTTAAAAATAGGAATCTAGCAGAAAGGATGAATTAGCCGATTATGAAGTATGAGATAGGAAAGAAGAACACTGAATACATCTCCATTATTACCAACTTTCACTCATAACCTAACATCTCCAACCAGTGGTTAAAATCATCATGCTGTCGCTAACTAGGTTATACGTATATTTAATCATTTAATAAAGCAAATCAAATATCGTTTAATAATTTTCTTATGTGATGGTATAACTGATCATAGGTTCATATATAACGAGAAATAAATCCTGAAGATGTTGACAACAGATTCCTATACACGTTTTTTTAAAGCCAGACTACTTACTTCAAATATAAGTCTTTGAATAATTTCAATCATTATTAGTTTTCGAAATGAATTCTTTAAAAACTGACACATTAAGGAAGAAACTGTTTCTAGATCAACTCTGGAAGTTCTAGTGTGCAACGTTAAAACTAGTGAAATCCGTAAGGTCTAAAGTGCAGAGACCTAAGCATAGATATTACTGTATGATAATAGAATTATATCATAAAATTTAGAAAATACGAGTTGTCATATTTTAACTAACTAGACAAGTGATAAAGTATTTGGTACGTAATTCATCATTTGGTTCATTGTACATACTACTATGTAGTGCTATAGTTAAATAAAACAGTTATCTAGTATACAGTAAAATATGACATTAGTTCATTAAATCATTGCTTTTTATCTAAGATATATAGTAATAGGTATAGATCATATGGTTGAGGTCCACGGGATAATTATGAACACTAGTAAATGACTTTGATGTCACAAAGTCGATCACATTAACGTAGATCCATTCATAATATGTCTTCCATAAATTATACGTTTCATACGTTTTATTCAACCATTTCATTCCCCCATGTTTAGTCTTACTGTTATTCGTCTTTCTCCCACTTCTAATTCATTGGCTTACCTCATGTTAACTTTGTTCCTCTGCATTGAAATGATTGCACAATTTGTTCTGATAAACAATTATGAAAGATTTTCTGTTGAGTAGGATCTTGGTTCTCTCATAGATTTACTTCCTAGTATCAAGTGAAATACAAAATCTATTTTTATAATTAAATTAACTTTGTATTGTTTACTTGAATCTTCCGATTGATGTTTAGGACTGCACTTGGTCAGTCTCTTATTGACATATGTGCATACTGTGCTGATTGCCTCGTTATTGCCTTAATTCACAAGTATCATAAACAGAGATGGATAGTGACTAGCAGTGTAATCAACGACATGCGTTTGGTCCTATTCGTCAGCTGGTTGCACCTGCATCTCAAAATTGATGTTCACCCTGGGACTCTAACACAATATCATTCGCTTCAAACACCATCACATTATCCACTTAGCTACGGAGTCCTGATAGCCACTTACTTGTGCAATGGGGTGAAGTTTTAAATTCACTTGGTATTGTTTACTTGAATCTTCCCATTGTTATTTAGAACTGTAATTGATATGCCTCTTCTTGACATATGCCAATAGGAAAAAACACATATCCTGACTTCCATTGCTGACCACTATCTATCTTTACTTATAATATTTTCATAATTAACTTTGATCTTCAAAAAACAAAAACAAACCATTCAGTTAAATAAAACAAATCCAAAATAAATACAATAACTCCGCTTGGAGCCCCTTTGTTGCTACTGACGTTTTCAAGCCCGGATAGACGAGGAGGGTTAGACATAGGGTTAGCGACCTCATCCCATAGAAAACTAACTCACTAAAAACAAAAAAAAACACACACACACGCTAAATATTAAATACAGAATAATACTCACATTTATTTGCAATAATTTTCTCTTCAGTTGTATTTTGTCTCAAGGTAGTTTGATCAATTGAATGATACATTTTAGAAGAATCCATTTGTACTGTTGTTAACATTGAATGTAAACCATCAACACTTGTTGATATATATAAACTATGCGGTATTAAATCATATTCAGTTAAATTTATTTTATTCATTTCATCATTTGATTGATTCATATTAATATTATATCGTTTCTCTAAACATTGTAAATATTCTTCACATATACGATGTCTTGCATTTAAACGTGTATGATGATCTAATTCTATAGTTGATTAAATAAACAAAAAAATAAATAAATAAACACAAACACATACATACAAACAAATAGGAAGAGATGGATATATATGATCAGGTGAATGTTTTCTTTGCAGTTTAAGACATATGAATAATCAACACATTGAGATCATTATACATAAGAAACTACATGATAGTTGAAGCCTTCATTCGGTTTTATATTATACATATTAAATGTTCACATATATATGATATGTGTACAATAAGCATTGGATAATGAAAATTACCTATGTAAATTAGTATTCATGTTTACATAGAACCAATATATATATATATATATATATATATATATATATATATATATATATATATATATATATATATATATATATATATATAGGAGGAATCATGTCATTATAAATCATGTGGTGTTGTCTTTTTTATTTGCATTGTCCCATTGTCATTTAGGACTACAATTGATCAGTCTCATGTTGACATATGTGCATCCTGTGCGGATTGCCTTGATATAGCCTTTAATCACAAGCTTGTTAAGCAACGATGGATAGTGGCTAGTAGTCGAGTCCAGGAAGCGAGTTTCGTCCTATTTGGGACTCATCAGCTGGATGCACAAGCAGGTGCAGTAGCTAAGTGGATAACGCGATGGTGTTTGAAGCGAACAGTACCGGGTTCGAGTCCCGGAGTGAACATCGACGGTGGGATGCAGGTACGTCTGGCTGACGAGCCCCAAATAAGACGAAACCCGCGTCCTGGATTTCCCTGCTAGCCACTATCCAATATAAATCATGGTTCATAGTCAGATCTTAATTAATGAAACTCAATAAATAAATAATATAGTTGTAGATTTTCCAAATGAGTAGAAAAATTAGAATTTTGGACGCTTCGTGACTCAGTATAAGTCACTTATTCAGAGAATAAATAAATAACTAAATCAAAATTAATCCAAGTGTTTGATTTGGTTATTTATTTATTCTCTGAAGAAGTGGCCTACACTAAGTCACGAAACGTCCAAAAATCTAATTTTTCTACTCATTTGGGATATTTACAATATAACCAATGCTCAATTTATTTGAAATTATCAAGTCAAACCTTGATAATGATACCTATAATGAAACTCAAATTATTGGCTTATTTACTTCATTATTTAAGTTTCTTTAAATGGTGTTATATCTTCTAATGTTGGTATTTTATTTTATTTTTTAATCTTTTTTCATTCTTCTAGATAATGGTGAATTTGTGCAGAATTGAGTACGGTGGAGAAGATTTGTAGCCCAGGTGTATGATTTTAGTACAGTTTTGTTCTCTGAAATAGATGGTTTGGTTGTGGAGCTTTCATCGTCCTTCTGAACGACATCATCAGCACAAATGTCAGGTATAAGTTTGTGCTGATGATGTTGTTCAGAAGAACGATGAAAGCTCTACGAGCAAACCATCTAGCTCAGAGAACAAAACTCCATCAGAATTGAGCATAAAGAGAATAGTACAATTGAAAGCATTCATATGAACTAGAAATCATCATTTTAAAAATATGTGAGCTAGTTCAAGTTTTGTCGTTTCATTGTATTTTCTAACCATCGTCATCCATACTTGATAATTATTTTTTAAGTAACTAACATTAAATACTTCAAAAGTTTATTTAATCAATAACTAAATTAAAAAAAAACCGGAAAGTATTGTATTGTTCATTTTAATGCTTCAAAGCAGACATCATTTATAATCTACAGTCTTCACACCAAGAACGATCCCAGTTATCGACTGAGTCGGTGCTTAATAATTCACACTTGTTTTAAATTAACTCTATTTATGACAATCTAATTTATCTGTTGTATGTAAATAAACATGTATTTTGCGACCTCTACGTAGAGTAATGCAAAAGCACTGAATAGAATGGACAGCTCGGAATCAACTAGACGATTTGGACTTCGCAGACGACCTAGTTTTTCTACCCCACACACACCAAGAAATTTAGGTGAAGACAACTAGTGTAGCAGAAGCATCTGCGCCAGTATGTTTCAACATTCATAACGGAAGAACCAAGGTCCTCAAATACAACACGGAGAACATCAACCCAATCACACTTGATAGAGAAACTCTTGAAGACGTGGAATGTTCCAGGTATCTGGATAGCAGCATCATTGATGAACAAGAAGCATCCTATGCAGACGTAAATGCAAAGATTGGCAAACCAAGTGCAGCATTCCTACAATTGAAGAACATATGGAATTCAAAAAAACTGTCTGTCAACCAATATCAGATTCAGAATTTTCAATACGAATGTCAAGACAGTTCTAGTGTACTGGACTGAAACTTAGGAAACTACCAAAACCATCATGAAAGATGTACAAATGTTTGTAAACGATTGTCTACACAAGATACTCAATGTCCATTGACCTGATACTAACAGCAACAACCCACTGTGTGAGAGGACAAACCGGCTTTCAACTGAAGAGGAAATTAGAAAAAGACTCTGGAGGTGGATAAGATATACATTGTGGACATCATCAAATTGCATCACGAGGTAATCAATAACTTGGAATCTTTAGGAGAAACGGAAAAGAGGAAGACGAAAGAACACACTACCTCGAGAATCGGAAGCGGATATGAAAACAATGAATATCAACTGGAAAGAATTGTCCAAGACAGGGTTGGTTGGAGAATGCTAGTTGTCACCCTATGCTACTCCACGATGATAGCAAATAACTAAGTAACATAGAGTAATAGGGACTTTTTGAAATATTTCATTCTAAGAATTCAATGTTATTTTAAACAATATAATATTGTGAATGGATTGTTTATATTTGTTATTATGATAGTTTACAAAACTCATTATCCAATTCAGTTTATAGTTACTTTCTTCTTGTTTGACGAATTCTATAAATCAATGCTTTGATATCAATCTTTAAAAACATTTCTTCTCAATACAATCACGAATGATCAGTTATTGTCATAACTTTCATCAGTTTTCCTATGAACTTCATTACGTAATCACAATGCTAAAGTATTAGAAAAATCCTTATGAAACAACCGTAGTATATAATATTTTGGTAGCTAAATCATTGATTTTAATCTATATTTATCAGATCAATAATGTAGTTATTTGTTGAAGAAACTTAACAAGCGCTGGACTGTAAATAATATCTATCCTTATTTCACTACGTTACAGTGCTTATTATCATTTGCTACTAGCTGTCTAAAATTATGATTCCTTTGAGTCTCACATATTAAATTAATGTAAAAAAAATTCAATTTCCTTTACTAATAATTCACTAAAGAGAAATACTATTAACAAGCGCTTTTGAATGAATCGATGAATGTTAGGCGATTGGAGCCAACTGGAAGAAATTCTTTAACCTGATTTTCTTCCTAATTGACAATTGTCAGTCAATTATATGAGCGGTCCTGAGAGAGCTGATGCCCCACCTCATAGGATCCAAAACCCAGACATCCAGTTTCATAGTCAAAGACGTCATCATTGAGCTATTTGAGTAACGACCGATTTCCTGTCGTACTGACATATTTACACTAATTGAGCACTGAATAGTCAACAATACTATGTTTGCTTAAAATCCTTGGTGCTAGTCAAATTCTATCGATGAAATGTAATAATCATTCGAACTGACTAAATATGGTATGCACTATGTCTTGATGTTAAATTATTAGAATTAATCGATATAAATCGTTAGACACAAGTGTAAAAACACAAGTTGTTATATTTCATCTCGATCGAAAAAAATTAAGTCATAGCACTAGGAATCAGATAAATATGTAATTGGTTTCTATTTAAATATCAATTAATGTACATAAGTAACGTTAATCAAGATATTAGATCAAGTTCCCCAACTTTATTTAGAAGAAATAGTCAATTATTCTAAATGATGCTATTATTAACACCAATCAGTAATAGGCCGGATTATTTTTAGCATGGTCCCATGGGATGAATGCATTAAATATGCATCTTACCTACCTTTGAATATATACGTAATCTTGATCTTCAAATTTGTGAATAATCAATAAAAGAATTTCAATATTAAATGAGCTCATCATCATGACTAAGCACCAACAAACAGTTACTAGTTTTACACAGTACTCAGGTTTCGTTAATTTTCGGTTACTTCCTATACAAATAGTAATTTTGATATATTAATTATTGAATATTTACAGCCCATCAAATATATTCCCCACCAAACACTAAGGCGAGATTATAATTTATGAACGAACCAATCAGATTTAGGATAACAGGTGTTGGATTTTGGCGCGTAATTCATGCATTTGTTCGGCTAATTAGCACTTTAGCATGTTAGCTACTGTCACTTTGAGATGAAACCTTAACTCAGGTTCCTTATCCTAACCATCAACTGTAAGTCATAATCCTTATTCTTCACACTGCTTTATAACGTTCATTTAGCCCTAGTAAGTAGGTGGAAATTCTCAAGGTCACTTTAGCGTAACTCAAAGGTCGTCCATAAATTATAATCTCACTTCTGATGCATAAACCGTAATGGTTATAATGAAATTTATCTGTGTCATTTACGTAATAGTGAAAATGCTAATTTAAGTTTGTAATTACATTATCATATCCAATCATTGATACCAATACTGGCTAGCATTACATGAAGATAAAAAAAATTTAGAATTAGTAATCTCCAAAATTTAAGATATGAAATAATTCTTCCATTACCCTAACACAATGTAACAGATATAGAATTATTTCCGTTGGATGCTGGCTCAGTGGTCTAGAGTTTAAGCGTTCTCTCACGGGACTGAACTCATTGTGTTCGAATCCCGCGAGCGGGATTGTGGATGCGCACTGTTGAGGAACCATACGATAAGACGAAACGGTCGTTCAGTGCTTTCAGGTTTCCAAAGGTGGTTTAGCTTTAATTGACTTATGAATCCAACCATTAAATTACTAAAAACTATCCACAAAACCTAATTCTGATAAGTAATATATGTTCAACTCTGTGAATTTCCTCTGATAAGTTTAAAATTAACAGGAAATGTGATTCATAT